CTATCGAGCCTCGGCGTATGTCCCCCCCCCCCCAATTGTTGTCCTATTGTAATCATAATTAACTTCAGAGTCATTACCATGATTAACTCACCTGACTTCATTGATATGTTCCCGCTTTGGGTATGAAATACGTCTCGAGAGAAGTCTACAGATTTGCCTCGTTCCACGTTCCTCAGCGTCTCCGCGTCAGCACGAGGTGCTGCGGTGGCGAGATGTTAAATCCCTTGCGTGGTATGGCAGGAGGTTGTGGGTTCGATCCCGACCCGTACGCCTGTATATTTGGAGTTTGCATATTCTCTCTGCCCGTGGTCACGTGGATTTTTCTCTAGTTCCCCTGGTTTTCCCCTCCAAATTTAAAAATATGCGATTAGAGTCTTTTGGCTGCTATAAATTTCCACACGATAAACCACTTCGTGGAGCTATCATTTGTGGCCAGGTCGCTTCTGAAAAATGTTTATATAGCTCAGTGGGCCTTACCTGGTAAAATAAAATATAATAGTTTAATCGTTTAAAGTAGCATCTGGTTGTGCTTCGCAAATTGCTGAATAACACAGGGTGTGCATCTAAATGTATTGCAGTCCCTCCAAATATAGCTGGTATGCATTAAATTACATTGGATGCAAATGTATTAATCGTCTTCTCAAACAATATATGATGTCCAACTGGTAGTTACGTATTGATACATTCCTAACAGTTTATAGAATAATATTACATTTTGTTATGGGGCCGTCCATAAATGACGTAACGCACCTAGGGGGGGGGGGGGTCAAACATTTGTGATGATGTGTGACGAGGGGGGGGTTGAGAAATGTGACGTCACATTAAAATGCGCAACTTTAAATAAATATAGACAACACGTTCTACTTAATTAAAGACTTTTCAATGAATGTTTTCTCCTACAACATCAGAGTGCAGCGCCACATTAAATACGCACTACAATGACAATAGTGTAAAGCGATTTGAAGCCTGTTTTTTTTTGGGGGGGGGGGGGAGGCAGAGCTTTGTGATGTCATATTTGAGGGGGGTCTGACTTTTTGTGACGCCGTGTGACGAGGGGGGGGGGGGGTCAAAAATCGTCCAAAATCGTGTGACGTCATTTATGGACGGCCCCTATTCTGTTGACGAATAACAATAATAAATTGGTACAACTGTAGTGACATAGCATCGGTCACGTAGCAGCATAGCGCTGGCTGCTGGCAGGGAAGGGGAACTGCAGCTTACAGCAGCCCTGACTGACAGCAGGTCACGTGGTAGACCAGGGAGAGATCTCGGGGAAAGGTCGCGGAAAAGGCACATCGAGAACCCGCTAGTAGGTTCCAGAAGGGGGCGTGGCCGGGGGCGGAGCCAGGCCACGCTGACAGTATAAGAGGGGCCCCGGGAGGGGACCTCGGGGCTGTTGTCTGGAGTGTGATCCCGTCGTGCTGCTGGAGTCTTCACCGTCGTCTCCATCTTCACCATCTTGGCGTCGCCAGTCTGATAGTCTAACAGCTGTCCTGACTTGGAACCGTAGTTACTAAGTGTTACTGTCAGGCCGTGTTAATAAACAGAGTGCCTCCTACTCTTCGTATCTCTGAGTCAGTCACTACACAACTACGCAAATTAGAAACCATTTTTTCCCAAAATTACAATAACACAAACACTTTTATGTTGAGTGGGGTCAGAGCCCGACGTGGTTCAAAAGGCCTTATTTGTCCTGGAGCTGACATAATGATGTCATCAGCCATGATCAGGTTGAGGTGCAGAGTGGCACCCTCCTCAAGAGAGGCACCTGCTGCTGGGAGTCTGCAGATCAAAAGACAAGCCACGTGTGCGCACTTTGAGATTTAAAAAAATTAACAACCTTTTACCCCACATTGCAATACAATGCCATGTAATGCCATTTCTCTCCATCTATAAAGAATCGAAAAATCATGCGAATTAATAATTTTTATAATAAAATAAACTATATAATTGAAGTGGGTATGTATGACTTGGTTAAAATAATCATCAAATCATCTATTTTGCAGTTTTTTTTAAGTTAACTTACCCATTCTTTCTTTCAGGTAACACGGATCATTAAATATTTTCCGCCAAAACTTCATTACCAAAATGATGAATTACCATTTGCCCCCGAAAAAACAAGAACTTATGTCTCTCTCACAACAAAACAAGCACGATGGATTTCAACAAATCTCACTTGTTCTACATCTGCCAAGAACAGTCGAATCACAATACTAAACGGAGGAGAACGTCACACCGTTGGAGACACACTCCATGTTGAGGTGGCAATGTATGACTATGGCAACAGAAGGAAGCTCTACGGTGGGGATTTCCTCCTCGCTCGGATTTTCAGCCCACGCCTTGGGGCTGCGTCTTCTGGCGTGGTGACTGACCTTGGCAATGGTGTGTACGATGTGAGGTTCACGCTCTTCTGGCCAGGAGACAGCAGGCTGGCCTTCACGCTCGTGCACTCCAGTGAGGCCGTGAGCGTGCTGGACAGAGTCCGAGAAACCATTCCAGATAAAGTCGCTTTCCTGGGGACTTTTGTCAGTGGGAAGTCAAGAGAAGTAACCTCATGCCACACTTTTCTCAACACAACGAAGCAGGTCTGTGATTATACGGACACGCATTTGAATGAACCATGGAAGTGTGAAAAGCCAAGTAAGCTTCCTTGTTCAGCTCTTCTAGCTATCAAATCATACAACAAGTATAAACATATACTTAGTCAAGAGCAAACTACTTTATTCAAGAGGTAAGCACATATTTTACCATGAACCAAGGGACATAATTTTGCCCATAAGAGGTTTTTTGGGTTAGATCGCGTATATCTGACACAGCCAACTAGTAAGGGTTGTCACGTAACCAGAACATGCAAATTCGTCACTAGTACAGCACACCGGTGTGTTGGAGAGCCAAGCCACAACATTTACTATTTGAGTACGACGTTTCGCCAGTAATTACAACTTCATCAGGCGAGAGTCAGATTTGTGGAGAAGTCTTACCATAGCGCTGGATAATTCAACGTTAGTCATGTTGATAACCGTTTTGTTTAGAAAATGTTCATTTTCAGTTGAAAATTGTTTGTTAGTCAGTCTAGCAAATTTGTTAATTTTGGTCGTGTTAGTTATGTTACATACATTATCAGCTGATTGCTGTGTAATTGTGTCAATTATATTCCAGTTATCTGTAGAAGCTATCAACAGAAGGTGTGTACAGGATTAACTGCACGTGTGGAAATGTTATGTTGGGCAAACAGGACGAATGATCAGCACGAGACTAAAGGAACATCAGATAAATATTAAATTCTCCCAAATGCAACTGTCAGCAGTCGCAGAACACGCGTGACAACAAGGACACTCAATTGATTTTGATCATGTTGAAGTTCCGTGAAAAATTAGCTACTACTGGCCAAGACTAATTAGAGAATCTATCGAAATTGAAAGAAATACAAATTATTTAACCGTTTGGATAGCTACCGCCTTAGTGATGTGTAGAAGCAAATAATCAAATAATACATTATTTAAATGCATGCCTATAAAGGGCAGCATACTTCAATAGGGATTACTGTTGCTACGGCTATTTTAATACACACAATAGACAGGAAGGACAAGATAATGCACATGCATAATGTACGTTGACTCAGTAATCCCCCCCCCCTCAATTTGCGCAAGAGCGCAAAAGCGTAGTCATCACATCTACGCCTCTATATAAGGAACGAAACAGTTATACTTCTCCACAAATCTGGATGTCGCCTGATGAAGCTAGTTGTAATTACTAGTAAATGTTGTGGCTTGGCTCTCCAACACACCGGTGTGCTGTACTAGTGATGAATTGGCATGTTCTGTTTATGTGACAACCCTTACTAGTTGGCTGTGTCGGGTGGTGGTGGGTTTTAACGACACGTTACGCGATCTAACCCAAAAAACTCTTATGGATTATATTGGTCGCGAAAGCCTATGTGTTAAACTGACATAAATTTGATTGTCAGCCACAGCTAATTACAGTAGCAAGTGAAGTCGTCTTGGTGTAGTTTGGTCAAAAATCCTAATGAGCAACACGGCATGAGAAGACCTTCATCCAGCAGTGAAAGCCCTTAAGAAAGTGTTATGCAATGTGATGATATTATTCATCACGTTTACTGCGTGTTCACTTAGCATATTGCCCCCATTTTGACATTAAACTATTTAATATTCAGCCTCTAAAATCTTTACTCCATATTATTCTGTAAAGTTAAATTCAATGGTGTTGCAGAAGTAGTATAAAAAAAATAATGGATATTTTTTATATTCTTTTGTGAAGCTCTATCCCTTAAGAACTGCATAACAGGGGCAAAACATACAATCGCCACGTAGAGAGGCACCCTAGTCGGGAATCGTACCCAGGACCTTATGGATATTAGGCACAATCATTGCCACTGCACCACCCTTCCACCCTAGTTAAAACAATGCACAGTATGCATAATTTATCTATTATGGTTACAGTGATATGTCCTAGCGGTATTTCGTTCGCAGCTTGTTGCAAATGTTCATGGCTCAAATCCAGCGTCCACCCTGATTAATACTGCGGTTGCATTGACCATATGAATACGCCGCGTCACAGTGGATGTTTCACAGTGGAAGTTATATATTCTCTGACGTTATTCAAAATGAGTAGGTCATTGTGTGTCGGCGTCATGGTCCAAATTTGCCGAATTTGAAAACTGGGATTATACATAGCAATCATTACCCCTTATATAACAAAAAACGTGGCAGGACTTTGCTAACAAAGAATAATGAGACTCAATGAGTAGAATAAAATATACTACTTATACAATCTATGTTTGATTTTGTAGCTGTGTTTTGAATCTAAATGTCTATCTTGATAATTCAACATTTCGGTAAGTTTGACCTAAATGATTGTTTGCATATGGCACGATTATTTAAACACAACTAATTGCCAATTTATATTACAGATATAACATGTGGGCGCCAATACGATGCCCATACAAAATCAGTGTTGCTCCAAGAAATGGTGAGTGCTATGCATGCATGTGTAGTGTAGCAGTGCCGAATGGCGGTCAGAAGTAGCAATTGCGAGTGTACCCACCCAAGGAGAAAAACTGGGGCAAGGGTCATGGAAGGGATCCATCTTTGAGCTCCCAGATCCAGCTAGAACGTTCAAGAAGGGGGGCGTGGCCAGGGCAGGGCCAGGCCCCGCTGAAAGCATAAAAGGGAGCTCGGGGCTGTAAGTGGGAATCAGGGTCGTCTCACCGTGGAAGTCGGCCTCGTCATCACCCGACGTCGCCACTGCTGGATAGTCAGGCAGCTATCCAGTCAGTTCGCGCCGTCGAGCTTGACGGTCAACGTTACGTTATGGGCTCAGTAAGTCGTGTAGTGTGAGTACGAGTAATATAAATAAAGAAGGTGCCTCGACAGTTACTGTCTCAGGAGTCCTACATTACACATGCACCATGGCTTTGGTGATTGATACATTAATTTAGTGGGAAATTAGATGTATATACACGCTCCCCTATTAAACTAGATAACATGCGCTGTTCACGGACATACCCATTGTGTTATATTGCTTGTGGCTCACTTGAGATTCATTGTATTTTCAAAGGGAGAGTTGCAGTAACCACTGTTATATAGGAATTGTCGTTGTTATATTGTTGGTACGTCACCAGGGCCGTCTATAGAGAGGTGCGGGGCCCGGGGGAAATCCCACTATGCCCCCCCCCCACCACGCCTTCAAACGCAACCAAGAACTATTACGACTGACACCGTGACGTCAAAGCGTGGGGCCCAGGGCGGTCGCCCCGATTCGCAATTCCCCAGGGATGGCTCCGTCTGTCACCACCGGCTTTGTGTACTGTGTTACTCGGATGGCATAGTGCAGTGCCACACAGTATCACGAGGCGCCACACGGAAGCACTACACTGCTGTATGCCTTTGCATACAGGGCTTGGTCAAATACGCAGACAATCTTTGTCAGGCTTAAGTACTGCATGACGCTCAGTGACTGGTTAAGCACCTCGTTGTCAGTAGACATTTGTGTCGCTGGAGCATTGATGGTAGGCAGATAGCCTACATTGTCGGGGATGACCATCATCTCACCTCGAGTCAGGATGTTAAAGCCTGTCCAGCTGTTGATTGACTGGTCTTCTTGTTGTGACATGCGTGCTAGGACCCAAATAAGGTTCTTCTCTCTGGCTAGCTGAGTATTGGCTACAGTATCGGCATCTGCACTTTTGCTTTGTGATGGCCCCACCCGTTGTCCAGCGTTGTAAGTTGGTAACATTGGCGGGGGTGCATTAATGCTTCTCTGCTTTGTTTTGGCAAGTGGGTTGGACAGGAACTGGGTTGACTGGCTTTGCTTGCACAGCAATCCCATTGACTCTGTGAGATGTTCCCTCACCACTGACGGTTTCTCAAGACGATCGATATTGTCCCAGGCTAAAGTTGTGAACATACCAGGATGTATGTTAGCTGGTAGGGCAATGCCATTCCCTGATGATGAGAGTTTCTTAAGACACAGGGCAGTGTCGATCTCTTCTGTCTTTGAATAGGACACACTGTGACCAAGTTGGTTGAGGATGTTTATCAGCTCTACATTCCCTGACAATGACTTGACACTGAATGGCAGACCAATGTGCCTGGAAGGCTTGGTCTTTCCACATGTCACTGCATAAACTATGTCATGGCCAAATGATAGCAGAAGCCGCTGAACTCTATGAGGTGCATGATCAGGATCATTAGCACCTGTGAGTAGATAGCACAGGAAGACAATGAGCGACTGTGGAATGGTAGGACAGTCTGCTTCTGGTTTGACTTCAGGCGGCCAGGCTTGAGGAACATCTTGACTCTTGATGTCATCTCTCAATTTGATGGCTGCTTTGGCTGTAACATTTTGAGGGTCTGTAGCTCTCTTTTGAGAGACTGATTTTCTTTGGCAAGTTCCCTCATGGACAGGTTATCTTGATAGAGGAGGAATTTTCCTTTCCCATCAGGGAAAATGTGCAAGGCTCCAGCAAACGCACTCTCCAGCTTTCGCCTTATGAGCTTCTTGGTTGATTCCTTGACTTGGACAATGCCTAGGGAGTTCATTGAAGCAATTCGTCTCAAATGAGATCAGTCATTGTCATCGCTTGAAGATTGCCAAAAAGCTCCATCCTGATGAAGAGGAACAGCTCATTGTTTGACTGATTCATAGCAGATTCGTACTGGGCTGCAGAGAATAAGCTTTTCAATGATATGCAATTCAACTAGGTTATTTTTTTAAATGCGGAGACAAATTGCGATGAAAGATGCAAGAAAACGCTAATTTAAGGCTTTGTTTGCTTGGCAAAGTTTGTATAAAATCGTAAAATCGAACTATTTCTAAAATATAAATAGTGAGTTTTCATGATTTTACAATATATGGAAAATAAAAAAATACATAAAAATTGACAAACTGAACAAAAATAATCATTTTTGCCTGTAGTACCTGGCCTTGACTAATAATCTTAACATGTACTTTTAACAATACATTGAGGGTAAAGTTAGAACTTTGGATATCTTTACTGAACAGAAATAATACAGAATCACCAGTACTTGCCTCACCTGCCAGTAAATGATCATGAGCAAACAATCTGCTAGAAACAGAAGGAAAACAGATAGCGCCAATCTATTCCAGACTTAACTAAGTCACTTAAATGGAAGAACAAGCGTGACTAAATGCAAGAATATGTATGAAATACATGCCTTGGGGACAAACATCCATTTTGTGCATACAGCAGAGGTGTTAGAATGTTTTATTTGTAACGTCCGGGCAAATAGACATGATTGCGATAGGTGCAAAAACAGGTTTCCTGCGAGACATTTTTTACAGCTGCTCATTGGAAAGGTTATTATGTATTATTTTACTTCCGTTGGTGTAACAAATAAAATGGCACCATTGAAGTTTTGCCACCTTGGGTGGTACCAATATATGGTCTGGCCCAAAGACGACATGACGCCAGCACGCAGTGACCTTCTCTTGCAAATGACGTCACTGGATCACAAACATCCACTGTAGAACAGACGGCCCAAATTTTTATGGTTAATACAGCCGCAGTAATAGCCAGGATCGCCGCTGGATTTGAACCGTAAACCTCTGAAACAAGCGGTGAAAGTGCTAATGCTGTGCCATGTCACCAGCACTGCACTAATGCGGTAGAGTCAAAACAAGAAGTGAATATATGAGATTCAATACAAAAACAATTATGTGAATAAAGCACTACCCTGCTGAAGAGGTCTCGAGATTCAGTGAGGCCTTCCTGGATGAACACGCCCAGTAACAATGATGAGGATGAGGCAAGTCTCAGTTTCATAATTTCGGGATACATTTTAACAACAAAGCATCGAATGGGCATCACATCAACACAGAATACATTCAATATATTCAACTAGAGTATGACGTTCAATTTTAGGGACGACGTTTTATGCAGAGTTTTCTTGCGAAGCACTTGTCATGTTGTAACATGTGGCAGATGTTCCTTAAGCATGCTGGGGTCTTGTCGAGAAATTACAATGGCATATTATGGCCGAATGACACTTCGCCTATATGTTGCAAATGAAAATTACTTGTGAAAACTTTAGTTTATATGTTACCGTGTATCCCGCTTTTGACTGCTGTTTCTCATAATTATGGATTTTTATGACATATCTCGGTAATTATACATTTTTTTAAAAATAACTAAATTAAATCACGACGTTTCGGGCGCAACACAAGCGTCCGTCATTAGGTGGGGACAACAACAGCGAAAACAGTTGCTGAGGTATGCCAAAGAGATGGCTCTGACAAGGGATTATATAGCTGAGGAGGGTGGGGGGGGAAACGAAAACTTCAAATCTAGAATCTCGGTAATTGTGTTGTGCTTTTATATTTTATGTAATTTAATCGTATGGCAATACCCTCTTACAAAATATACATAACTCATTGGACTCCAAAGATCTTGAAATGATTATCAATTAGTTTTTTTTACAGGTTCATTTGGAAACAATTTACAAAAATGTATCACGGGATTAGGAAATCCACTGCCAAGTGGCTATTTCTTAAAAAATGTATGGCATTCCTCCAATTGCAAGAATATCCATTTTGAATCGGAGACGTCCGTTATGAACTGCTTGAAAGGAAAACGGGTGTTTCTCCTTGGTGACTCCACTATACGACAATGGTGGGAATATATCGTCCGTTTTGTTAAAGGTAAGAGCACACTTACTTCATTCAATTGTTTAATAATTCCACGTAGTTCATTATCAGTGGTTGCTATTATGATTGTCATCAGATAATTAGACGTTATAAAGATTCAATTGGAGCAATACATTGAGGGCAATGGCGCTACATCACAATTTACTGATGCAAGAGTATAATTTGAAAACGTGCGTGTGCTGTTTCTCTCCCAGATCTGAAACCTTTAGATAATCACAAACCCGGAAAGCATCAACCAAAAATTGCTGTAAATGAAAGCAATGACATCACGTGGCAATGGTTTTGTCACAGCTACCCATTTATAGCGTCGGCAAACACTTATCCAGAAGACCTCAAATACGTTGCGACTCGAATTGACAACATCACCGGTGGGGGCGACACGGTCGTAGCAATCTCCCTAGGCGCTCATTTCACGCCCTTCCCTCTGGATGTGTTTCAAAAGAGAATGCACAACATTAAAGCGGCAGTGCAAAAACTATTGATCCGAAGCCCTGAAACGAAGGTCATCGTTAAATTAGCCAACGTGAGAGAAAACGGTGCCATAGAAATATTCAATAACTGGAGCACATTTAAGATTAATCAAATCCTGTTGGAGGTGTTTCACCTAATGGACGTCGCATTTGTTGATGCTTGGGATGTGACCGCCGTACTTAATTCTAAGAAAATTCACCCAAATAACAACATACTTAAAGTCGAACTGGATCTATTTTTATCATTTGTCTGCTCAGAGTATGTCGCTACAGTTTAATAGTTGCAGCATTGGCATGAGTATGCAATGGTGCATCGTATTGAAAGTAGAACATAATGTAAACATTTCGATTTAAAGCTTTCGTGACTGCAGGGATTCATCTTCTTGGTTCTTTCGGTAAAGTCACGTAGAAGGAAAATAATAAAATAATAAAAATAAAGCATAATAAAATAAATATTTTATTATGGTTCATTTTTATTACTTTATTATTTAATATTTTTTATTTTATTATTAAAGAAAATAATAAAGTATTAAAAATAAACATCCTAAAACAATTATTTTAATGGTTCATTTTTATTATTTTATTATTTTCCTTAATAATAAAATAATAGTTTTTTATGTTTTATTTTTATTATTTTCCTTCTACGTGACTTTACCGAAAGAACCAAGAAGATAATGTAAACACACAAACCACCTAACATAAACATGTACTTAAATATATAATGTAATTATTGCATTGTCATGTGATTTATGTAAAATTATCAATAAGAAATAAAATGACACTCAATGCAACAGAAAAGTATGTTTTTGTGATTCTAAGCACACATTAATTCATTTTGTATTTACTCTACTGGTATACAGAAGGTGCTTGTATAATTGGAGTTTGCATGTTCTGCCGTGGTCGCGTGGATTTTTCGCCAGGTCCTCCGGTTTTTCCCTCCACATTTAGAATAGTGCGTTTAGAGTATTTGGCTGCTATACATTTCCACAGGATAAGCCACTTCGTTGAGGTATCATTTGTGGTCAGGTCGCTTCTGAAAAATAGCGAATCGCAAGTGTTCCTTCAGGTTTAGCTGACCAGGACGTTTTTGTTTCGTTGTTGCTGTGCTCACGCGTCACGGATCTCTCTGGTAAGATAACCGGCCAACTGGTTGAAGGTTCGTGGAACAGATCAATATAATCTTAACTTTATTTTTCAAAGCATTAATCTTAGCCGCAGAACTAGTTGAACTTAATGTCGTAAACCATCGTTTATTTCAAAGTACGTCATTCAAGAACCACAAAACCATTCTGAAAATACAACAGCCAGGACATTTCTGAAGCGATGTTGAAATTGAGTCCTCTTGGTCAGGCTTGTACATACGACAAAAAGTGCACATGTCACTGAGCCTGGAGGGGTTGTTTGTGAGCACACTCATCCACACACGCAGGTGCACACATGTATCCGTCTCGATGTTCCGCACAAGCACACCGTACATTCAAACGTCAAACAGTGAAACGTGATGCCCACGAATGTGGCAACAAAGTGGTGATGTCACCTGCTGCTGCTACTGTTTGTATAAAAGTACAGCCTCCATAGATCTCTGCGCCGAGTGTGCGCAGCTCGTTCAGTGCCGTATCACTGCATCGCTGTGAACTGACCAGAGGCTCCCGTCCAGTCCTCCTGCTGCTGACAGCGGTCCTCGTCGACTGATGGCTGCCCGTGGACTGCACAGCACGGTGGTAGTGTGGCTCATATGCTGGTAATTACGTGTTTTGTGTCAATCGTGATATCGCTGTGATATCACAGTTTATTGTTTGTAAGTACAGGATAGTTTCTCTGTAGGTGCACCATTCATCTGGAACTTTCGCCCACTGCACATACACAGCATCCAATCGTCATCATCCACCTTCATGCAGCAGCTCAAAGCTCACCCATGGTCCTTATTTATTGCAACGTAATATAATATACAAGCGTTGTAATGCTGGTGTTTTTATTACACTGCGCATGATTATTTATCACATATCTTCACATTTCACAATGTCACATTGACAATGGCACATTACACAATGTCACATTCACAAAACGCACAAATCTTCCAATATCGTCGCATTCTGTAAATTCCTTGATTCCTCTGCTGGATAAACCTTTTAAGTGTCACTTGATCAGCTTTCATTTTGATCACTTATACAACTCTCCACTCGATTCGTGCTCATGATACTCCTAACGAGTATCTTTCTAATAACTGCGTAGCACCTAATCGTTTTCTAAATTCTCCAAAATACATAGCTTAAATTCTGTGTATGACTTCACACATCCATTAATTCCCTCCATTCATTCCAGTGACACTGCCTTTCTCAAAAGATTGGAATCGCCTACAACGTGTTATTCATTTTTTTAAATGAACATTGATTATACACTCTCTGTTCCAGTATGAACTCATCTTGAGTATGTCTTTCCTTAAAGTGTATTAAACATGTTTTGTTATACATGTGTGTTGGGAGTGAAGCGAACTGTGCTAACCAACCGCCGATTTGAGTTCGATTCCTGCCCCCTGTTAACCATCTGCCACCAACCAACGTTGTGAAGAATAGTAAAATAACCCCCCATGAATAACACGGTGTTGACGATGCCTTGACCAAGCAACGCATTGTAAATTATTATGTAGTAATTAAATAATTATGCCTGTAAATCTAATTTACTGAGTGCAATGATTCAGTTAGTATATATTTTTTTTTATACTAACTGTACGGTCAAACAAGTATGGGCAAACAATTCCCACTTTCCAACGCAGTAGCATGGAGGTATTCCTCCAACAGTGTGGAAAAGAACAGTAGCCCGCAGTTAGCATATTTGTATACTAACTGCGTGCTACTGTTTTTCCACACTGTTGGATGAAGACCTCCATGCTACTCCGTGTTGGAAAATGTGAACTGTTTGACCATACTTCGTCACGCTGATGAGGGGTGCGGTGTGAGAGTTCTGGCTTCCTGGGGTAATGAACGCAAGTTGGTGAAGAGGGTCCAAGATATCACGTACACTCACATTTATGCCGTGGTCGTGAATTGTGACCAGGCGCACTGGGTCCATGGCCTAGTGTGCGAACTAATATCGCACCATAACGTTTATATCCATTATAACATTATTTTGTGTTCGATTAAATTGCTATTGTAGGGACCAAAACGAGTGGTGGCACACGTAGGGTGAGTGGGTACATAAGGCATGCGGAGATCCATACTGGCGGGGGGGGGGGGTGCCCCAAGGCTTGAACTGGCCGTGAACTAATTACAGGGAGTATATTATGATGGCACTGTAGGTGTATATATTGAACTTCTTTCGCACCGTATGTAACCAACCGTGCTAATTGGAGGTGCGGGGATGGGCAACAAACTGAACACAAAAAGCAACTGTAAAGAAATTAGTTTGCAATTCATATTTAAAAGTGCTTAGCTCCAGTAAGCTTCCTAATATCGGAAGGATGAGCGTTCCAGACGGCGCTGAAGCACATCTGAAAGAGAGTGGGAGAACAGTAACGCAAGGCGTGGTTCAGGGTACGGGTCAGGGTACGAAGGCGTACGAGCACAGGAGGTCGGAGAGGGCAGCCGACCAGACGAACCGGTGTTATTGAGCCGAGGCATGAAGATGAAAGAGCTGCCCCCCCCCCCCGCCGGTGAGAATGCAGAGGCGGAGTTGAGTCGTGTGTTGATCGGAGGGGGTTTGGCGGTTATTGTAAAACTAAACTAAAACTGTTTTTATTTTACAGGGTAAGACCCACTGGGCTATGTAGTTCTTTTTCACGAGCGATCTGGCCACAAATGATAGCTCAGCGAATTGGCTTATCATGTGAACATTTATAGCAGCCAAATAATCTAAACGCACATTGATTCTAAATGTGGAGGGAAAAACCGGATGATCCGGGGAAAAATCCCAACTCCAAATATACAGCAGGCGTCAGGTTCGGGATCTAACCCACGGCCTCCTGTATACCAGGCGAGGTAGTTAAGAGCAGCTGTCTTCTGTTCGAGATAGAGGGCCATCCTGTGAAACTATCATAAACCTGGCCGACCATACTTTACGGCTCCCTTTTGTGGTCGCTACATTATAAAATGTCTTTGTAATTGATGTAAAACAAAATTCATAACCAGTGTGGCGCAGTGTTAACTTCTCAAGTTGGGCCATGGAAGAAAGCACTGGACTTTGGTAAAGGTCAACGTTAATTGCTGCAGTAATATTTTAAAGCTGACGAATGCATTCTCATATTTAGAGTTAAGCAACTTTAAAGTTACACAACTTTTACTACTTTTTAGTACATATTGACAAAAGTGGAAACTCGCGTTGGACAATCCGAGAGAACCTTGGTATCCATCTCGCACCTCCGATTAGCATGGTTGGCTACGTACGGTGCGAAAGAAGTTCAACCTGCATTCATACATACATCTTCACGATAACAATTGAACTGCGTTTTTATTTAAGGGACTAAAACGGTTTTCATATACTCACCAAATTATATACAGTTTTTTTTGGTAATTGTTTACAAAGCCTGCACGTGCAATAAAAGGGCTTCATAATGCATTAGCTCCTCAATAATTCGATGTCTAAACCACTACTCAGGGGCCAGAATGGCGTTTGATGACATGGCCAACAGTTGAAGTTGCCACGAGCACAGCAAAATGCCTGTGTTAAATGATGTGTGTGTGTGTGGAGCGGGTGGTTGGCGCATTGCGCTCCGAATCATGGGAGCCGAGTTCGATTTCTGACTCGACACATCAGTAGCGAGTGGTATCTCAACATTTTATGGATTTCATCGTAGGTGGCTCAGCCTTAACAGAGTACCTGATGCGGTATATACTCAACATTGCTCGAGAGACAAAGGTGGTCAGGCGTGATACGTACACAGTGAAGCGGTAGGTTCCCATTAACACGATTTATAACGCGCATACGACTAAACGGGAAGGTATATGACCTTTGTGTGTGTGTGATGCAGCCCTCTTATCACTCTGGTTGATGGAACATTCCTCACCATGGGCAACTTGAACTTGGACAAGGGATATGAGCGAAGACTGAGGCCCAATATTAATGGTAAGTCTCCTTCTAATGCGCACACTCTCACACATTTCCTATCATACGTTATTTTGCACCACCATTGGGCACCTCTTCTCTATCCTCATCTGGTTTATAGTTGGCTGTTATGCAACCAAGTGATCATATGAAAGATTGTTTTGGGTTCGATCGTGTAAAAATAAAAGTGTTGTTAACCCATCACCCGATACAGCCAACTAGTAAGGTTCCTCACGCAAACCAAGCGATCACCGCATCTTTACCCCACAAACACTACCACGGATTATTAACATTTCACAATGAACAAATGAATCATGATAATGAATCAAGTCAATTGCAGTTCATCACTGATGTTGAGGTCAGATCGCGTGAGTACAATGTGTCTCATACATACACCCTCATTCACCCGATAACCAATAAATAAAGTTTTTACGTGCACAAACGTGCCAATGTATTAATACTTTAGGACACCGGTATGTTGAACAATCCGCAAACATTTAACGATTGGGTACGATGTTTCACTGGTAGTTACAACCAGCATCAAATTACATATTTTTGACTCATTGGCCTAGACCAGGGATCGGCAACCTGCGGCTCCCATGCCGCATGCAGCTCTTTAAGGACTGTTTCGTGACGTTATTTATTAATAACCACCGTCTGGTATTCAAATGGATTATGACTCTTGAAATATTGAAGTTTTTTTTTTTTACAAAAACGTCTCTTCTTCTTATTTTGGTTGCCGACCCCTGACCTAGACCATATTTTAAACACAACGACAGTACATAGGGCAAGGGTATACTGAACAATATTAAACACTCAGTTATCAATGGGGGTGGAATATCTGCGTGGTATATATGAAATGGTTTGAGAGAGGCGCACACACTGTTATGGGAAAGCAACACTCTTTATTAATTAACACGTTAACTCTTAACAATACACATAGGGTGGTAACCACCGACCTATCCTCGCTAACACTCGTTAACACTGACACTCTGATAGCAACTTGCGTGGCCAAGCCAGGTGGGCTACTGCTTGGCCACGCTGGCTTGAGGCTTCGCTTCACTCTTCATGAGGCGTCTTCATGAGGCATCTTCATCCCGGACCCGAGCGGCCCCACAACAGGTGCGGAGGTCGCTTATATGTGTCTCGGCGTGGCCAGGCCACACCCCGGCCACGCCCACCTTCGAGAACCCTCGAGAAGACTCTGCGTCTAGCCTCATGGCCTCCAAGGTCCCCCTGGGGCCCCCGGCTCCCACCTTGATCCGGTCACGTGTCCAGTCGGGTTAATCCAGGAGTGCCACGGCCTCACACAACCCCTGCGGCACTGACCCACGGCCTCCAGGCACCCCGACCCGGCCGTGACGTCATTCCCGCATCCGCACGTAGTGACGTCATGTGTGTTGACCCGCACGCATACTCTTTGGTTCTTTCGGTAAAGTCACGAAGGCATAAAATAAAATAAATTAAATCACGACGACGTTTCGGGCGCAACACAAGCGTCCGTCATTAGGTGGGACAACCACAGCAAGAAACAATTGCTGAAGTGGGCAAAGGGCTGCTGTAACAAGAGGCTATATAGGTGGAGCCAGAGGGGGGAGGAGCAAGGGGGGACATATAGAGAGGGGGGGTGTGGGGTAGGGGGAGGGGAGTGCTGTGAAAACGTTTAGAGGACGAGCAGACAATGCGGGGGGGGGGGGGGGTGAGGGAAGTGGGCGGGGCTGGGAGTGGGGAGCTGAAACAACAGGAGATGCGGAAATGAAGGCAACGCCATAAAGCAGTTAAGGTTTTACCTGGATAATAACATCCTTCCAATGATTGCTCAATTTGCATCCATCTTCTCGGTTGAAGTTATGTCTATGTTTGTATATCTGGATGGCTTCATGAACAAACCTTTGATAGTAGCCCGAAGGTTTGCAGATTACCTTGGTCTCGGAAAAAACAATATCATGAGACCCCACAGCGTCATAGCAATGGTAACCCACGGCGGAGGTATTAGTTCTGCCGTGTTTCAGATCTGACTTGTGCTCGCGAACACGGTCCGAGACATGTCGTTTCATTTCCCCAATGTAACTCCCACCACAGGTGCAACTTAGTTTGTAGACTCCAGGATATTGTATGTCAGGAATGACATCCTTCACAGATGGGATTAGATCACGGATTTTGTGGACTGTACTGAATCGGACCTGGAAATTGTGTTTAAGATTTTGGAAATATTTTTGGTAACGCCTGCTATGTATGGTAACGTGATGGTTTTGATCAGCGTCTCAGGGGGTTGTTTCGAGAAGATGGATACAAATTTAGAAATCATTGGAAGGATGTTATTAACCAGGTAAAACCTTAACTGCTTTATGGCGTTGCCTTCATTTCCGCATCTCCTGTTGTTTCAGTTCCCCACTCCCAGCCCCGCCAACTTCCCTCACCCCCCCCCCCCCCCCCGCATTTTGTCTGCTCGTCCTCTAAACGTTTTCGCAGCACTCCCCTCCCCCTATCCCACACCCCCCCCCCCTCTTTATCTCTCCCCCCTTGCTCCTTCCCCCTATCTTACCTATATAGCCTCTTGTTACAGCAGCCACTTCAGCAATTGATTCTTGCTGTGGTTGTCCCACCTGATGACGGACGCGTGTGTTGCTCCCGAAACGTCGTGATTTTATTTATTTTATTTTCTACCTATGTGACTTTACCAAAAGAACCAAAGAGTATGGATCCCTGCAGTCACGCAAACTTCAAATCTAGATTAGACCCACACGGAAGTGACGTTACATCTCACTACATATATAAGCAGATGCAATATAAATAAATAAAAATGTACCATACATTTCCCCTCCATTAATTCATTTGTAAACATCTAAATATAATAAACATTAACATCTGGATACCGTCAAATTGCGTTGTACTTTATAAACCTTCTTCTTGGTTCTTTCGGTAAAGTCACGTAGAAGAGACGCTGTCTTTCCAACAGACCTGTTATTCACCTGAGGACGGCTGCTTGCGTTGTGGCCGTAACGTCGTGAGAATTATTTTATTGTTTTATTTTTATTATTTTATTATTTCCCTTCTACGTGATTTTACCGAAAGAACCAAGAAGATGAATCCCTGCAGTCACGAAAGCTTTAAATCGAAATTTATCAAGCTTCATCACTGCGACAAAAAAAAACCTTTGACAGCGAATCAGGATGACATACCACTAATAGGCCAATCCTAGTATTTACTCTTATGTGCTCTGGCATGTTTTGGTTATTACAGGAGACCCTGTTGTCGTAACATGCAGCATGATCATCAAGCGCTTTGGACCCGTCCAGGAGACTTCGATGGTGAGACCTCAACATCATCAGCTGCTTCAACCCAATCCCGCGAATCTCTTGCGATTGTCACGCCTCTACCATGCACACGTGCATCCGTTTTGTCAACGCATCACTGCTTCGATGAAGGCCATCTCTGTCACGTCGTCCGGTTTGTGGGGAGAATGCTTGACTCAACTACACCACACCAGTCATTGTGGGTTGATGTGAAGTTGGGCAGAATAAACGTGGGAGCGTAGTAACAGTCGGATGATAGGTTTTCAGTTTTGCGGAAAATAGCATTGTCCCTCAAGCACAGAGTCCACCACTCATCCCACTTATCCGTTTACGCAAGAGTGACAACGAAGATTCAACACTATCGTCAAGAAGACTGCTCCGTTAGTTGTATACATATGCTTTCACGGACAACTTGATTCATAATTCCTTTATTTTTGGTTTATATCGTGAATGTATGTCCTTTGTTTTCTTATAACCCTCAATTACCCGGCAAAGCTAAGTAAATGAAGTTGTCACGTGGGCAATTGCTTTGCCCCGTTTATAATAGGTGGCACTTTGACTAAAGATATATTTAATGAAGAAACGACTCAAAAACGAACCTCTGTTTTATATATATACATACCCTTCAGGGCAGTGGTATGGACAAGTTTGTTGCGGGTTTTTTGTTAAATGTGGTTATGCACCACTGCCAATGGCAATCACTTTAAAAATTTCGTGTTATCCACAACATGCTGATGATGGCTGTCGAGTGACATCGCAAGAGTGCTGCTTCTAGATGGCACGCTTGACAATAACTTTCAATGATTTAATTTATATTGTTTACATTTACGATGATAATGTGGAATATTGTATTATCAACTGCTTCTTCGTTGTTGGGGCGGGGCGGGGGTGGAAGAAGCAGAGTTATGAAATGTTGAATACTTTGTTGTGCATTAACAAAACTTAAAACTCGTGCCGGGACACCTCGGGACCCTGCACAAGACAAGAACATCCGCGACTTTCGTACACTTTACGATGACAGTTCTTTGTTTACGTTGGGATGGATTGCCTGTCAGCGACAATAGCCTGATTCTGCCATTTGGGATTCGTGAGCGACTATTTACACCGCACATCATGGGAGTGTTCGCAGTTTAAAATGGCATACACACATTTTACATCACAAGCAGGCGGTGGAGGCTACGTATGTGGCCTGTAATGGAGCACTGTGGAGGCGAGAGATGGTGCATCAAATACATGTTGCGAAACTCCCTTCCTGTGGGCATTGAGATGCCATATCCTGGCTTGGCAGGAGAAGGCAGTACAACAAAAATTTGGACTCCACCACCTATTTAGTCTCTATGTGATATAATGTCACCCCCACGCCTCACACGCGTTGGTCTACTCCTACGTCTGAGAACTCATTAATTGGCCTATAACAACGTTATATTTAGAGGAATGCAGAGCTTGAGAAATTGTTGGCGGCGGTTTACCGTGTGGCTGCCTTTCTGCTTATCTGTGGTTCTTCCTGCCTCCTCCTGAGTTCTTCTTGATCATCGAGAGTGGACGATTACGTTTAATTACATAAGCAGCGCTAAAGAGATCTTTGCGTTTTATGTTGTATCAGCCTTTAAGGTTCATAAACATCAAACTAGGCTGACACGAAAGACGAGGCGACGCCCACCATTCTCGGGTGTGTTGGCTGATGCAGGCTCGTGCAAATAGATCTCCTCGGGCATCCATACTCAGATAACGCAACCAGGAATAAAACTATGGTGGGATTTCAGTCGAATGGAACAATTTTCTCCACATTGTCTCAGTGAACGAAAAGCACCATACATCTTTTTTATTACAATGAAAATCTGCATGTGAACACAAGGCCATCATCTACATAATCATTCTTAAATTACGTAGTTGATGATGATGCACTGTGCTTAACAGAGAAGTGTTTCGTTTATTATTGTTGCTAGTGATGTCGGATCGCCTTACTCTTATTCCTCTCCTTTACTCCCCAGGACTACCAGACGTCCATAATCCTGCAAATGAGGTGGAACGATTATCGTTTGCAGTCGCTTTTTACCCCTACTTCTAACAATTCGTACGACCTCGGCAACAACTACATCGACAGCATCTGGAAGCCCTGCCTTTTCTTCGAAAACGAGAAGACGGCGAGCGCACACGCAATCATAGCGGACAACAAGATGCTGCGTCTCTTCAGCAACGGGGACGTCTTCTACACCATGAGGTGCATCCAGTTCGCCACAACCTTCACCGCTCATGACGGCTCCATGGGCGGGGACGTGCCCAGCGGATATCGCGTTCGTCGCTTGTTGCAGATGTCACGGTTTGAATATAACACGCCGACCTGGATCAATACTGCGGGTGTAATTAAAGTACGTGCCGTCTGCTTCAGAGCAGACGTTAAAGGTCCCGTGACACTATTTGCAAGAGTAAGCCATTTTGTGCTGTCGTCAGTTTCCAAATTTTCCAGATTCATAAATTGCCGAAAATTACTCAACTGGGATTACACAGCAATCATCGCCCCCTACTGGCAGACTAATGCCCGTTTGTAGACCAGGTTACGGGTCGCCTTGTGCCCACAAAGGAACAGCTGCCACTGGGGGTGCCCTTTCAAATGTTTGAGATGAGTTGTATCAAAAACCAAATAATAATAATTATTATCAAGTCCCAGCGTTTGGAATAATAGATAAAAACACAAAGAAACATGATACTTAAAAGTATGTGCTTTTTTCTGTCCTTCAATTGCATTCTAAATGAATTTATTCAAGTATTGTAATAATAGTTATTTTAAAACCTTGCATTGAAACAAGGAAGATTTTCTTTTTTAAAGTATATATTGCGTGTCCATGCATTTTGTAAAGTTTTTCATCACGCGTTTTTCCTTGGAAGTGAGTATCACGTGAGTCAGGGGCGGTTTCTTCATTAGGGCGATTGGGCGACGCACCACCAATGTCATTCAACCACAGAGTCACGCTAGCCGTCACTGTGCCTCTGGATATAGTCCAATCAGCGTCATGTCACGTTCTGTGGAGTACCGCCTCTTTTTGGGCGATTTCACTCCGGCTGAGAATCGCCCCGAGTGGCCCCATAGACTTACATTCAAAGATGTTTTTTTTCGAACGGCAGGCGCGGCAATGCATTCTCTATGGCTTCCGGGAGGGCTCGCACTAACGTGCTTACGTCATCATACGTAAGCACGTTTCATCCAACAATATAATTTGTCGCCACCTAGTGGAATCTTTAATAAAAGAAACTTGAGTGGATTGTATTAATAGTGAGTATAGAAACAAACAAGATGTATTGTAAGAGTCACTTTATTTTTCATTAATATTAAAGAAGTGAAGTTGCCTTTACATGCTTAAGCTGTTAAATTATCCATTGCATTGGTGGACCTTATCCTTATCAATCATCCAGACATTTGCCCCCCCTGAGAGATTTTGCATGAGCCGCCACTGACGTGAGTGCTGACGCGCTCAGGAATCAGTGTCTGAGGGCCGCAATGAGACAACAGGGCACGGATAACGGCTCTGCCAAACGGGGCCGGGTTGGTGGTGGTGGTGCTAGTTGGTGGTGGTGGTGGCGGTATTCACTCGTATTCTACCAATTTGCAGGATACTATAGCTCATGCCCAAGAGCAAGACGAATTGCGGCATGGAACGCTATGGGAAGACCTACAGCCAGCAGTGGATAGATCATTGCGAATAACGATGTTGTAAGGCAGTAATCATGGCGATGCGTAGATTTTTATTTTATTTGTGATAACAAAACTTTATTTTGTTTCATTAACCGATGACATTAGATATTTAGGTGCCGTTAATGATAGTTATTTATCCTAGAAATTAGTTCCAATACTATTGTCAATTGGCGCTTTAGTTTTTTGCAGTCCTTTGATAAATTTTGGCCAGTTATAAAGACGTTACTTTCATAATAGCAACAACACTTTCGACTAAAGTTGTATTCATTTAAGGCGGCAGGTGGCACAGTGATGGTAACACTTGTGTCTCGCAGCAAGGATATCCTGGGTTTCATTCTCGGCTCGGGTTCTTTCTGGAGATTTTATGCTTTCTTTCTGCTCTGCATGAGTTTACTTAGGGGTTCTCGGTTTCCTCCGATCATACAAAAAAAGCTCCAAGAACATACAATGTATCTGCTATTTGCCCAAACATCCCAATGCCAAAATAACTACCCGCAAATTACTTCATTTGGTAATGAGCATTGCAATATTTCCTCCCTCCTGCAAAAACTCGACAGAGACCTCTTTAAAGAAAGGGTTGATACACCTTGTGGGTGAACAAGCGTCATAATAAATTCATATAAACAATACTTATTAAGATCTACAATATTGGTCTTAAAGGGCATGCTAATGCAAGTGTGTGTAACCACGTTTGCAGTAATTCAATGTGGCTTACTCGTATAAATATTGCTCGTAGTAATATCACGCACAATATTATTGATGCAGAAACTACTACTACACAATCTAAATTACAATATTAATTATAACAATTGTAAAACATCGTAATTCAAATGGAATATCTAGGAATAATATAAGCGCCATGACCAATAAGCAGCAGCAGCAGGAATAAGGCAAGCAACCTAATAAAAGGCTACTGTTGTGAATTCGTGGAATTTATCAGATCTGTTGACCAAATGTTATGCTTTATAGAATTGAGTTAATACGTTTAACATTACAGACCCCCCCTGCACGGAGACTCAAAACAACAAAGATGAGCGATGTGCAATAACCGGTGCGCCGTTTCAGGTTGACGATGTCACTTGAGTGCGCAATGGCGCTGAATGACTACCCCATGGATTCGCAGAAGTGCCACATGAACCTGGAGAGCTGTGAGTATTCCACGAGAACTGGCCACCAGCTGCAGTGTGCTCGCATCAACAGATTGTGTACGTTTAGCGCCAGCAGAGACACGTGTGTACGTATACCCTATTTATATGTACCGACTAAATAGGCATTTTGACATTTGTTATTGCACTATTAGTGGTATATGCGATGAGGATTTGGAAGAAAGGCTCAAATTTGAGATGAAGCACGTGAAACTATTTGAATTTTAAAACTCCAAACATTTATTTAGAACACACTCTGTGACAATAGTTTCAATCTCCATAGGTAGCATTTTAGATATTCTGAACTTGTTTGTATAAGGTAGCTCTTAGTCTCTCCAATAACTTGGTAAAGTGACACGATGTAAAAAGGGTTTTAACCCAATCCTGTAATTAAAAATGTTACATAATGGATTATTTTCCTGTCTTTTCATGAATTGTATTTTATTTCGATTTAAAGCTTTCGTGACTGCAGGGATTCATCTTCTTGGTTCTTTCGGTAAAGTCACGTAGAAGGGAAGTAATAAAATATTAAAAATAAAACATAATAAAAGAAAATAAATATTTTATTATATTATATTATTATTTTATTTTATTATATTATTTTATTTTATTATGTTTTATTTTTATTATTTTATTACTTCCCTTCTACGTGACTTTACCGAAAGAACCAAGAAGATGAATTGTATTTTATTAAATGTTCGTGCAATTTACAGGAATGGCCTGCACAAACATGTTTCTTTTTTTAACTTTTCACAAGGATTTTTCTTGCTGCCAAAAACACTGATCCCCCGCACACTTGCACACTATCCTATCCCAATCATAACTCCATGCAGACGGATACACAACGCACGATGTGATTTTGAAGTGGAATGACACCAACCCGATCGTGTTCAACACGAGTCGCATCGTCACCACCTTCACGGTGTACGAAGACGGAAAGCTCGGCGACTGCACGCAGACGTATGGGACTGGTGGGTAGTTCAAGACACTTCACTCAACCTCTCGAACCCGGCTCGTGCACAAACATGTTTGCACGTAAAGACTCGCCGGCTTATTTTGCCTTCCAGTGGACAAGGCAAAGAAAAATCCAAGACATTGGTTGCTGGTAATCAGTTGACCGATAATGAACATGTTTGAATGTTTAATAAACAAAATAAGGAACTATAGTGACAGTGGTGAGACAACCTAAACAAATAACCATGTTCCCATTATAGGGAAGTATTAATGATGAAGTTTGCAGAGGTTTTTGACGAGTCAAATTTTTGTTAAGAGTAGAAGAAAAAAAATCACAATTGTAGGAAAATTCAACATGCGTAATACGATTAATAAGATTGAGCGCAAGGTTTAAATTCTATGTTTGTTTTTATGTGGTAAGGCAGGTAAGCATACCTCGTTTACAAAGGCCATGCTTACTCTCTCAAAGTTCTCGAAAAGCTCCAAATTAAGTTTGGCCATGCTTACTCGTTTGTTATCAGTTCAGCTGGCTTCATTCAAGGTAGCAAGAGCTTTACATCCAAGTGCCGCTGTTCTATATATCACGGGAATTACGATAAAAGTCTGGTAGACTACAAATACATCTGTAAGAAAAAGATAAGCAACATTTTACTTTTTATAACATAGAAGAGGAAAATTTACCGAGATGTATTATCTACCATGTTTTTTATATACAATAAAAATAACCTCACAACCATTATCGGACATACGCATGGCAATAATTTCCTGATTTCGCTTCTATATTGTAGGTAAATGTCATATGATTCGTAATTTATTTTTGGGTGAGGACACAATGATTTGGCAAAATGTTTGATTATTTGAGTTATGTAAAGAGTAGCTGTGTAATTTTATATCAAATACTATAAGACAACATACCATCAAGAGAGGGTCTGTAATATTGGTAGTTGATTCAAGCAAGTCTAACTTGTCTCATGAGATAGTGTGTGTCAAAACCGGTCCAGACTTAGCGTGTCTTGAAGTTTAGCTTAAAACTACTCAAAACATCATCAGAACAAGATACAGGAAGTTGAAATAAAAGCCCAGGAATTGAGAATGATATATTGTAACTTTCATGTCTCCCTTTCTTTCTTCAGGCACATTTTCCTGCATCTCACTGGAAATCACGCTTTCACGTGACATTGGCTACAATTTGATCCAGATCTACATCCCCAGCATGCTGCTCGTCATAATCTCCTGGTTCTCCTTCTGGATCGACATGAGCGCCGCGCCAGCGAGAGCTGGGCTGGGCATCACCACCATCCTCACGATTACCACACAGAGCTCAGCTGCCAACGCACAACTGCCCAAGGTGGGTAGTGCCCTCTCCGCCCCCTGTGCATTTAGAGCAAAACCCCACGTCTGTTAAGGAGGTTTCATGACTTACATTGCAAATGTGTATATCAATGTAACGAGCACTTTGCCCCTAAGATGGTTGATTTTCAGGTTTAGCCTCAATTTTGAACTTTCCTCTTGAAGTAAAGGCCTCATCATGTAAACTCGGGCCATTGCCTCAGCCCAGCCATTCAAGGATTGTAGTATTTGGATTTGACTTTGTGGAACACCATGTAAATGACTATATGGCAGTTTCCTATCTAGTTAATGGTCGTTCTCTGCTAGAACATTTATAGATGACTATACAGAGGCATATTATGTCACTGGAAATCATACCTGTCAACCCATACAGTTTTCCCGTATTCTTATACAGGGAAATTTAGTCTTCAGGTCCATAGAGCATACAGCCGTTTCAATATGGGCAATATTTTTTTGGTCTATTTATTTGTGTTTCTCCCTTGTGATGGGACTTTGTACGATGGACGTTGAGATTTATAAAGGCACGGGGTGACCAATAAGTTCTGAATTGGTCTGTAATAAGGTAAGCACTGATAAGGGGTTGACAGGTTTGCTTATTATACTTACACTCATTGTGCTGCAAGCATACCCACGTCACAAATTCACTTTGCACACAAACTCATCGGCACTGCTGCAGCGCACGGGCATTCAGCATCTAGAATAGCAGCGTTTTGTATTTATTGTCCCAGGGCGTTTTTTTAAAATTAAGAAACAGCCCGGTCATTGAATCGAAATAATAATGGACAGGATTACATATTCATACTTATATTCATGAAGTCCGTGATATAACTAACTTTCTTGTATGTCGGTGGTTGCTGAGGCATAGTAAGAGCTGAAAGTAACCAAGGGAAGTGTGCCAGGGTGAAAATGATTGGCTCCCATTCGCATCAGTACGAGCAGTCTGCGATGAATAATAACGCACCCAATGATGCACAGAGACACATAATGAGACCCCCTATATATATACGCTTATAGACTGTTAGGGTAAAGTGCTGTTAGCAAGTACCTATTAAGACCAGCACCACACTCGACCATCTTTGTATCCCCAGTGCTGATGTATTTTGTTCCCAGAGAGGTTCTGATGCCAACTAGTGTGTTAGCCGTGGACAGACAATGAAACTTGACCTCTACCACTACTTCTCATATACTGTATATATACAGGACATGACAAAGGCAAAGATCCCCCTCATAGCCTTAACAGACTGTTGGGACAAGTGCTGTTAGCGAGCACCTATGAAGGCCAGCACAGTACACAAGGAGGTGGGTGGCCAGCACCACGCCCAGCCGCCTTTGTCTCCCCAGTGGAAATGTTTACACATCGCACCAGGGACTTATTTGAGGCTGTGTCCCCCTAGGGGAGGCCCAGGACCAGTTCAGAAAATCCTCACTGGTGGTGGCCGTCACCAGTTTCGTAGCGCAGCGGGCTAACCTCTAAACTACTGCACATACAGGAAATATATACACACACACACACTTCTAATAGGCTATACCTACATGTATACAAATTTGAAGAAATTAACAATACAAATGTCAAATGTCGAGACACCGACTCTCAACAGGCTTGCGGTAGTGACACACTGAAGTGAAGCGTAATTGTCGTTGCGAGCTAGTCGTCAGATCGAGGGGCTCTAAACGGTGTTGGACAATTGGCGTTGTGTTGCTGAATACACATCGTCAGCGAGATATATGATACATGTGCAGGTAAACACACAGTCATAGCGCTGGCTCATGTCTGAACAAATATGGCAATCGCTCCGTATGTATTCATTGTTGACCCGGGCCGCGCTAAAGACCCACGTGCAAGAACTTGACACCCGGAAAAGGCCAGGTGCGACTAAAGCTGCAGGTGTTGCAAAATTAGTACAATTGTTTCATCAAATTACAATAAAGAGCGGTGTGTGTAATGTGTCTAAAAACGCTAAATTAGAGCAGCTGCATTAGCGTGCTGTGATCCTTATGGGTGTTATTTTATAGGGTCTGTATGAGTCTCGTCCAGCATGGGAAGATTTCTGAAGTGAATATGCAACAACAATGTAACTGGCGTCTTGTCTTTTTTGGATAGCCTGGATCGAGACTATGTTAGGACTGTGAATATAATAATTTTCTAAAGTGAGGGATTACTGTATTGGTCTGAAAGCTTGGATAGGCAATCAATATTGAGATGTCTACAAGAACAAATCCAAGTCTTGAGATCATACGTTTACTCTTTCATTAAATGGGATCTTCATTTTTGTAAGAAATGAAAGTTCTGAATTTTTGTAAGTGAACATCATATTTGAAGGCATTTAATGGCAGTGTCATAACTTCCTGGCGGCATTCAGTCACAAAAAGCCATATTTTACTATTATGCTTGTTTACCCAAGAAAGCCTCACTGATTCTCAACTTTTTTCCAGGAGGCTCCTTCCGGGTTTTCGCGGGAGAGGGCGATGTTGCTGTTGTGTAATACAAATGTAATAATTTACAAGTACATTTTCAGCATTGGGATGTTTTGCCAATATCAGTTATGTAATTTTAACCAGAGTACCCAGAGGAAACTCATGCAGAGAGGATATACCAACTCCACACAGAGAAGTGCTTGAATCTGGATTTAAACCTAGGAGATTTTTGTTGGGAGGCACAAGTGTTTCCGCTGTGTCAACCTTCTACGAGTTACTCTTTGGGTCTTTCGGTAAAGTCACGTCGATAGAAAAAACACAAGCAATCGTCTTCAGGTGAAAAAAATACAGCAGGCGACCTGCTGAGGCAGGAGAAATATAACGAGAGAACTACTGCAGCAAGAGGTTATATAGGTTTCAGATGGGCACAACCCAAGGGTAAGTGGGCGGGGCTAGAGATGGAATTTACAAGTAATATACCTCGCCCGTTGTATTGCTAGAGAGTAGCATGTCAATCTGTCAATGTAACCCCACGACTACGGTGCTGAAGAAGCCATTGTATTGCTATAAATTAGCATGTCAATGTGAGATGACTCCCGCAGCAGTGGCTGTGTTAATGAGACACATTCAGCCTATTAAACAACGAGAGCCATTGCCACATCGAGGAAAATGGAAGCAGCGGCTATGTTAGTGAGACATTTAGTCTGTTAATGTAAAGACATTTAACAAGGTAATATAACTCAGAGAGTCGGAAATAACTGTTAACACTGGCAGGTAGGATGGAATCATCACAGCCAGTTATGACTTTACCTGGTTAATAACATCATTCCAATGATTGCTCAGTTTGTACCCATCTTCTCGGTTGAAATTGTGTCTGTGTTGAAATATCTGGATGGCTTCATGAACAAATCTTTGTTGATAGCCAGTGGGTTTGCAGAGTGCCTTCGTCTTGGAGAAATCAATTTCATGCGTGCACACAGCATTAAAACAATGATCAGCCATGGCAGAGGTATTGGTCCTACCATGTTTCAGATCCGCCTTGTATTCACGAACACGGTCTGAGACATGTCGCTTGGTTTCTCCAATGTAACTACTGCCGCAGACACAACTTAGTTTGGTGACACCGGGGTATTGCATGTCAGGGATCACATCCTTTACAGATGGGATCAGATCACGAATTTTATGTCCTGTGTTGAATCGAACCTGGATCTTGTGTTTGCTCATGCTTTTGGAAATCTTTTTGATGACCCCTGCTATGTATGGCAAGGTGATGGTTTTGATTGGGTCCTCAGGTGGTTCTCTCCCAACGGTTGGGGTGACAGCTTTACGGATTGTGCAATCCATAAAGCAGATTTCAGAACAGCTCCTCGCATGCCATACGAGATCGTGTGGTCAGTATCATGTCTGGTCACCGTTGTCTCTGTGGTGCTGATTTTGAATAAGCTGAAGTGTTGATTTTCTTACTCGCTATTGCTAAGCTAAGGTGAATGACAAGGAATTGCTAATTTAAAGGATGATCCAGATGTCTAGTGACACCAATTTAATTCTCTAAAACTTTACTTTTTTATAAAGATAGATTTATTTAAAACAAAAATGAATATGCACAGGAAAAAAATTCGGGGTCCATTAATTGGGGTCGTAAGACATCTGGACCACCTTTCACAATCTACGTTGTGGGAATCAAGGTGTGGTCTGTGAACTTCAATTCCAACGTTCCCCAGGCCAATTACCCACAAAGAAAGTGGTCAAGTAAGGTGTTGGCCACACCATTGTCATCTACCATCCCTGGCTTAATAAGGGCCCACTTAATTTTTATTTGACCAGGTAAGGCCCACTGAGCTTTATAGCTCTTTTTTCAGAAGCGACCTGGTTACAAATGATAGCTCAATGAAGTGGCTTATCATGTGGAAATTTATAGCAGCCAAATACTCTAAACGCATGTTTCTAAATGTGGAGGATAAAAACCGGAGAAGGCAGAGAAAAATCCACACGACCACGAGGAGAACATGCAAACTCAAAATATACAGGCGTCAGGGTCGGGATCAAACCGATAAACTCCTGTTTACCAGGCGAGGTAGTTTACATCTCGACACCGTGGCGCCCCACTTCCAGTATTCATAACATGAGTCGTTGTCTTTGTGCTTTGTTTTCAGGTCTCCTACATCAAAGCGATAGATGTGTGGATGGGGATGTGCCAGGTATTCGCATTTGCCGCACTACTGGAATTTGCAGCTGTCAATGTGATGGCGCGACAGAACAAGCGGGCGATGAAGGAGCTGAAGAAGAAATCGGACAGCTCAAAGGAAATGGTTTGTATATCATTTTTGACCAGCGGCATGGCATTTGTGCCTCACACCAATACGTTCCCGTGTTTAATTCCAGACTCGGGAACCTTTCTGTGTGGAGTTAATGTTTCCATCCTGTTCTGTATGGGTATCCTCTGGGTTCTCCAATTTCCTCCCATTGTAAAAAAAAACACAATTTCATTGGTAATGACCGAATATGTTTTTTAAAAAATACCTGAAAATAACTCATTTGGGATTTAATATAGCCACATCACCCCCAAGTACAAACACTTGGCAGAATCCTCCTGAAAAAATTGTCTTGAGACTCAGTGAATCAATCCTGGGTAATACAAATATATAAAAAAATGTTCTTTCTCTTTTCCAGATAAGCCTTACTGAGTGTAAATATTTTATTTCAAAAGGATATTGGGGTGTTTGACCATATTTTTATTTTATTTTAAGGCGTCATATACCTGTGGGAGGAAACCAGTGTACTTGAAGAAACCCCACTACAGTTCGAGGATAATGCTCCAAGTTCCACACCGATCGGTTGTGAAGCCATGAATCCAGTTGCTGTATATTAGCTGTATTGAAATGTTTTGTTCCCCAATAGCCTACAGGCCTGGGAGTTTCACAAATCTGCATGACCCACCAACCCTTGCCTCCATTCTGCTGGATTGCCTCTCATCTACTCAAATAACCCATTGCCATTTGCACTGGTTCCCTTGCTTGCTGCACTTCCTTTGAGGTGTCACTTGATATTTTGGCGAAGTTCTTGTTGAAGTGATGAAATTGTGATGTTAATTCCCATGTTTTTTTTTCCAGAGCGGTAGCCTCTCTTAGTCAGCTCGGTTTTACTCGATGCCCACAACCATATCCAAAATCTTTAATGGACTGAGTATGCACGTGTTCGTGAAGCTGAATGTATCTTTACTTAAAGTCTACAGACATTTAATTAATTTCGTTGTGGAATACGAGTCAGGAAAAGAGTCAAATATCTTACAGATTCAGCGCATGTCTCCCAACTCAAGCACGACATGTTTGTTGATGGGCTTGAGCCAGTGGTGGAAAGTTCACATTGCTGTGGTGGGGTTATTCCCCATGAGAACCACTGTTAGTTTTCCACAAATAGAGATAAATAGAGAATCAAAGTTGTTAAATCATGCCCAATTATGTAGCTTTTCTGGCTGCACGAAAACAGTAACTTTACGCCTCTGCCTTACCCACCCCACCTTCTTTAGCCGGATGAGCAAGAGCTGAAGAACATGTTCGTCACACAAGCACAGACCATTGACCGCATCTCCCGCATTGTGTTCCCTACCACCTTCCTCATCCTCAACATTTTCTATTGGGTCTTCTACAAAGTGGTGCTCAAGTTCCGCTAGAGAAGACATATCCAACCTTGCTTATCACTAAGCTTCCAAGAAAATCTTGAGAGCACTTGCATGTTTCATATGTTACTGGTGAATCGCTGATGTTTTTCAAAAAGAATACCATTAAACCAAAAAGATAAAATTAAATGTGTTGGGGGGTAATAGCACCTGTAAGTGGTAATTTCATCTTCCACTGGGTTTTTTTACGTTATGAAAACTCAGTTAAGGCTGAATGTATATAACATAAACATGAACGCATTCATTAGTCGTTTGTGGTAACAAAATGATCGATGGGAACAACACTCCCCCACTCACCCAGCCTTGCCTCCACATAACCTCCATGCAGGTACTCCGACATGGCTGATGTTGATGTTTCCCGTGTGACTTGTTACGCTCCATTGGCCTGACCACGCAACAACGTTACATACCAAAGAAATGACGTCAAGCTCGGTGAATAAGGGGAAGAGGGAAGAGAACGCATGGTGGAGATGGGGCATTGGAAACATATCGTATCTGTTAAAATAGAAACGTTGAGCAGATAGCTTTATTTACATGTGTTTGTTAACTTTCATATGGAAGAAAGTGAGAATAAAACCACGTGAGTTTTAATTAACACATTATTCATATTCGAAGGTGTCTCAAACAGCAACTTGACAACAGATGTCTTCACAATGATCGCTGGTTTCCTTGACTTACATGACAATATAACATTCTGAAATTACCTCATGAAATATAATTTCGTTAACGTGTGTGCGATTGCGTATAAGGCTAGTGTCTGTACAATAATGTTTAGAGCCATGATATATGTTTGCTCGTGTACAGCAGCCTGCTTTGTGAGCTATTAAACAAGCCAAGAGCTCATGTCGCTGTGAGTGAAGATCAAGGTGTTCCTTATCTCTATTTTACCCATTCGCTCGAGTTAAAAAAAAAACAAGTCACACTACAACTGTGGCCATGAGACCCAAACGATAGCACAAATAGTAAACCACGGAAGAATTAACAAGACTACACGAACTCTCTTCTAAGGCCCTTTCGTGGCGAGTAGACCTCGACGTTGCCATTTAGCTCCTCAACATATTGGCATGCGCAAGAAGCAGAAGTTCAACGCCAATGACGTGTTCTCCCAGCATTGCTCTGTTTCCGCTCCGTTGATAAAACAAGCTAGTCGTGTTTCAGACCAAATCATCAACCCCTAATGGCAGACTAAGCTCGTCTTCAGGCAAAGGCACCAAGTCATATTTGTCCCCACAAGGACAGTTGCCACTGGGGGTGTCTTTTCAAATGTTTGAGGTGAGATGTGTTGTAGAATGCCGAGGCGCCTTGGCATATAGGAGGGCACTATGTCAAAAACAAAATAACCATTACTATTTGACATCTGTTGCTGTTTGTGTTTAACTTAATGGGACCTCGGTAAAGATAAATATTGCGTGTTCAGTTCGTAAGTAATGAAACTAGTCTCATAACAAAATACACCATTCGCCACTTTCTGGCGGCGACATTGCATTTTGGGACCATTTGAAGTGTCGAAGTGGTCACACCATTCCGGTATACACATTATGTTCAGTTTTATTTTACCTTCATTAATATCGTTATGCAGACATGAATAATATTAAGGCATCTTCTTGTTTCTTTCGGTAAAGTCACGTAGAAGGGAAGTAATAAAATAATAAAAATAAGACATAATAAAACAATTCTCACGACGTTTCGGCCACAACGCAAGCAGCCGTCTTCAGGTGAAGAATGAGACACTACCAAACTAGGAGCTTATATATAAGCTGCATTGGGGGTTGAAGAGCGCCTTAACAAAAAGAATGTGCATGTGAAGAGGAATTTAGCATATTCATGGAAAATGCGTAGGCGTTGGGCGGGGGGGTGTCAAAGTCATATTATGCCCATGCATTATGCAGGATCAGCAGCAACCAAGGGGGGTGCAGGGATTAGCAGTAACAAAGGAAAGGAATGTTAATGATATGTAGCTGCAGTTACTCAACAACCACGTAGAAAACTAAAGTATAAACTACATAAAAAACTAAAGTATAAACTGCATCGCACCATCAGTATACTTACTATACTCTATAATAAGCTGAGTTACTAACAGCAAGTAATACATTACAATTCTACCTCGTAAAAATTCTGTAATATGCTTCCATCTAAACCTTATTCTCTTACATCACACGAGCATATACCGTACTATATACTGCCATAGATAAACCCAACATTAAATTATATACTGTATTGCTGTAAACCAACCTATATCTTATACATTTAATATAACACTATGTATTATTCTACACACCCTAATGTGTATCGAAATGGTTTATTACGTCCTTCCAATGATTGCTGAGCCAGAATCCATCTTCTCGGTTAAAATTGTCTCTGTGTTTGTATATGTGGATCGCCTCATGAACGAATCTCTCATGATAGCCAGATGGCTTGCAGAGAACCTCTGTCTTGGAGAAGTCAATATCATGTGAGCCCACTGAGTTGTAACAGTGATCTGCCACGGCTGAGGTGTTTGTCCTACCGTGTTTCAGGTCAGCTTTATGTTCACGGATGCGGTCCGAGACATGTCGTTTGGTTTCCCCAATGTAACTGCTACCACAGAGGAAACTTAGTTTGTAGACGCCAGGGTACTGTATGTCTGGAACCACATCTTTTACAGACGGTACCAGATCACGGATTTTATGTACTGTGTTGAATCGGACCTGGATCTTGTGTTTAATCAGGATTTTGGAGATCTTTTTTGTGACCCCAGCAATGTAGGGTAAGGTGATGGTCTTGAAAGGCTCCTCAACAGGATCCTTCTTGATGGTTGGAGTGATGGCTTTGCGGATTGTATAGTCGGAGTAACCATTTGCCTTAAGAGCTTGGCGTACGTGTTTGAGTTCACTGGAAATGTGTTCATGGTCGGAGATGCATTGGGCTCTATGATATAGAGTCTTGATGAGGGAATTCTTCTGGGATGGATGGTGGTGGGAATCCGGTTTTAGATAAGCATCCGTGTGGGTGGCTTTCCTGTAGACAGAGTGGCTCATTGAACCATGAATATGCTAAATTCCTCTTCACATGCACATTCTTTTTGTTAAGGCGCTCTTCAACCCCCAATGCAGCTTATATATAAGCTCCTAGTTTGGTAGTGTCTCATTCTTCACCTGAAGACGGCTGCTTGCGTTGTGGCCGAAACGTCGTGAGAATTGTTTTATTATGTCTTATTTTTATTATTTTATTACTTCCCTTCTACGTGACTTTACCGAAAGAAACAAGAAGATGAATCCCTGCAGTCACGAAAGCTTTAAATCGAAATTTAATATTAAGGCAGTGACGCAGTGGTACTTGATTATATAAATGTTCATTAAGATTGATGAAATCATGCCTGGGGACCCAGTTCTGTGATAAACTGTAGGTTATAGTCAAGAATCACTTAGCTTTCCATCGTATGTTTTTGTTTTCGTTAAACGTAGTTTACAAAACTCCCATCAAAATCTTTGACTATTCCAAATTGGGTATATAAGGGTTGGTGTATAATTGTGCGACTCAATGCTTGTATTTAGTCTCATGTAATCAACTTGTAAGCATTCTTTTTTACAAACTCCCATGATTTAAAGTGTATACGTTTGATGGTATTTTATTAATTTCTTCCATGAGTTTTCGAAATCGTGGACACTAAAAACATTCAGGCAGTTGAAAGACAACGTAAAGATTCTGTCAAAATTCCACATTTTCAGACCATTTGAATGGCTATTGTCCAAATAATTCAGGCAGTCTGGGTGAAATGTCAGTCTACGCTGAACTCTCAAGTTACCCCTGAAGAGACAGAATCTTTTGGTGATTTACCTGCGTTTTAATTTAAGTTGTATTTCATATTTTACAATCATCAAATGATTGAAATGTGTAATCACTCAATGTTTTATTTATGTGTGAATGCTGATGGTAGGGTGAGATCTAGAGTTTGAGAAGGATTGCTCTACATTATTATATCCATATTAAAGCTTGTGTTTACCTACTACATTAAACTATTATACAAGTATAAACACTTTTTCTGACTCATGTGTTATATCAGCAAATAGCTATGATGTAACAGGTAGATTGATTAGACTAATTAGATGTTTGTGTGAATCATGCAATCAAATCTTGATTTGAAGCTTTCGTGACTGCAGGAATCCATACTCTTTGGTTCTTTCGGTAAAGTCACGTAGGTATAAAAAATAATAGATCACGACGTTTCGATCGCAACACAAGCAATCGTCATCAGGTGGGACAACCACAGCAAGAAAAAATTTGGTTAGGTGACTTACCGAAAGAATCAAAGAGTACGCAATCACATGTTGGAATACTTGATCATCGGATAAGTATCAATACTGACGCAAAGTACTAAAAACCTCAAATGCTAAACGAATATAGAATGGAAAATTAAATTTAACCCTTTGGAAGACATAAAAGTGTGGATATGGCCACATTTTCCAAGTCTGGCCCAATGTGAGAAATAAATGTATGAATAATGAGCATCAATAATTTAACCAATTCTCAATTTTGTGAGGTATCCCTAACTAGCGAGTAACTGCAAGCGAATACAAATTAAACGGACGCTTTGCGTGCACAAGGCCGCTGGTTACTCTGAGAAACCACATTATTTCGTCTTTGGTTTTTTCGGTAAAGTCACGTAGAAAGAAAATAAAATAACTAATAGAATCCGACGTTTCGATTGCAACACAAGCAATCGTCATGAGGTAGAAAACAAACCAAGTAAACTTAGAAATATAATGCAATACAACACAGAGTCGGCTAACACAACAGTCAACACCCTACCTGGTTGATTGTTCTTCCAAAGATTGCAAAATGTGAGAGACAAAACACAGACACGGAGACACATAGACAGACACACAAGCAGAGACAATACAGAGACACAGAGAGACACACACATAGACACACAGAGACACAACACCTCTGAGTTGCAGTAGAAACGTCGAATTCTATTATTTAATTTATTTTCTTTCTACGTGACTACCGAAGGAACCAGAGTAATTCCTGCAGTCATGAAAGCTTCAAATTACATTATTTAGATCATTGAGTTTAGATAGGTCTTACATATCATTCTAGGTTACCACATGGATTTAAAATCGATCCTAGATATTTTATATCGGCAGATTCATACATTACTCACGTATGGTATAAATTCACACAATTATAAAATCACCTCAAGTACCCCCTGATACATTGCCACGTACCCCTGGTTGAGAACCACTGCTAAAGAAGCCCTCTATAGAGCTGCCTCGAGTGGGAGCTCCTTCTGCCAGCTGTGGCTAGAGCAAATAATTGCAGGGCTGCAACCGTTACCTTTTAACATTGAGGCAATTTATTTTTAAAAAAACATGTGAATAGGCAACTTCCATTACTTGTGCCACAAAATCATCGAGCAAATGTCCGGTCACACGTACCTGCATAATCGTATGCACGCCCATGTGCGCGTGTGTTTACGGTTCAAGATATTGTTACATTGGAGCGTTGACTTTAGGAGTTTAGGTTGCGGCATTGGTGGCTAAAAATACGACATAACGTCGTTGCTGTGAAAGCACACAGGCATTGGAGAGAAGTAAATATTCCAGCATGTGCTGCTCAGGGTAACCGTGAACTCGTATAAACAGGTCTTCAATTACGTTTCTCCATGTTCATTTCCACTGAACAATGCGAAAATTCATGCCAACGTATGGATTCTGTAGCACCTTCCAACGTGCGTTTGTCTTTGGAAGTATCGAATTTCATTTGTATGAACGTACTCACCTTGTGCAAGTAGCCGAGGGTAATTCATCATGCATTACACCGTCCTTGAAGGGTGCTTCCGTTAAGATAACGTCGCAGGCATCACCATTTCATTTGGAAAGCCAGGTCACCTGAGTATGTACGATCGGTGAAGTCACACTCTTGTCAGGGTGGTTTTTTTTTTAGATAGATCACCATAAAAGTTCACCGGGAAGTGCAGTTTTATATCGCTAGCGGAAAAGTGGATTTCCCCCATCCCCCATCTCGCCAAAAAATCCCTCAAGGACACCTGAGCACACATACAAACTCGCTCACGCATACGCCCGAGCACATGCCAAAACTCACACCTACAGTCATTTCAAACAAGGTTGCCTCATCCTCCACTGGGCACCATGGCTGTATTGGACAGTCCTCTGGGTGTTGGGGGAGAAGTCCTCACTATCCGTCAGAAAACATCGGATTGTATTTGGGTTTTTTTTTCTTCACATTTGCGATATTACTTGTGGGTTATCATACCTGTCAACCCCTTATCAGTGCCTACATTATTACAGACCAATTCAGACCTTATTGGTCACCTCGTGCCCTTATGAATCTCAACGTTTATCCTACAAAGTCCCGTTACAAGGGAGAAACACAAACAGACAAAAAACTATTTGCTATGCGGACCTAAAACAAAATTTCCCTGTTCAAGAATACGGGGTAAACGGTATGGGTTGACAGGTATTGGTTCTGGAGATCAATGTGGAAGCCCTTGGGTCCGATACTCCCCTCCTAACCAGAACGTCAAAATTCCACCAAACTTCTTCTTGGTTGTTTCGGTAAAGTCACGTAGAAGGGAAATAACAAAATTATAA